GGAAAAACATTCGCACCTGTCTTTCTGCATAACTAATTCAGTGTAGTTTGTTTACTTATCAGTCCTATATATCCCAATGTAATTTCAAAAGTATATATATCCGTGTATGTAGAGTATTCAGCTGACAAGTTCTACCGAGATTTGTTGAATCCATTAAATCCTGCTTGATTAACCTTTATTGCTTGTTTTAAATTCGTATCGGGAAATAAATGTTTGCAATTGGATTGATGTAGATTTCTTCTCTTAGTAATAATATCAATACTATTAATGATAGCTCAGGGAATAACACTGAACATTGTTGGTTCATCGTTATACTATGAAATAAATTATTAATAAAAGCAGTTCTGTTTTAACTTCCTCAATTATTCAATTGATTGCTGACATGATTCGTTTAATATCTTAGTTTTTGGTATGTATGTCTACATTCGATGAATACATAATATCATATACAGCCAAGTGTATGCATATTTATTAACTGTTTGATGAATTCCAAACAGATTAGTGAACTCGATAAATCCTTGTTTCGCTACTACTCATTGTCGCCAAATGTCATGCGATTAATCTGACATATTTTCAATACAACCTCATTAAATTATACTCATAATCATGATAAATAAAACTCGTGATTCTGAAATCACACATGAATATCAGTGTACGGCTTGTAGTCAGCAATTTCATATTGTTTAAACCGTTCAAATTTTAATTTTTCTCATTCTACACATTGTTCGCAGGAAGTTATGGATGTTCATACTGTTATCTAGTGCGACGCAAGGCACATAGTGTGATAGAGTGTTCGCCGACCACGCAGGTAGCCCGACCCGGGGTTCGATCCCCGACCATGGACGCACTCTTTCACCTCGTTAAGCCAGTAACAAGGCTGGTAAAGAGGGAAGGCTGTGCATAAGGCTAGCAACCTCATCCTGTAAAAATAAACACCACTGCTACAGAAACTTCAAGCCTCTGGCTTGAAGCCCTTTGTTTTACTGGAAACGTAAAGGATTAACAAAAAAATACTGTTTTCTTATCAAATCACCTTTTCTCTGTCACTATGAGAAAATCCAAGTGTTGTGGATCAGAGGTGATCGCATTGGCACAGGTCCATGAATGTAGTACACAAGTTTTGTGCTCATTACAGCATCACATCTGTTTGCCTCCTTCATATACTTTGTTCTGTTTGTCTTACAGCACTTCCTAACCTTTACTTTTTATGATTTTTCTCTTTTCCTTTTATTTTCTCATGATGATATCGAATAAGGGAACTTTGACAACTAATCAGTAATGCTACATCTTACACTAATATTTAGTTTTTTGTATGTAACTTACTAAAAGTCTAAGCAAACTATTTCTGGTGCCGAACAAAAAAAATAAACAAACATAGTAAAATTTATTCTAGATTTTTATTTGGCTTTTGTTTGTGAGACCTAACTGGTCAGTAATGAATTCGGTAAACAATCAATGCGCATCTGAAAATCCAAACAGTATTTATCATATATTATTATAGGTTAGTAGTAGTCTAGTGATTTAACCTTTTGTAAGTATTTCAGACAATAAAAACATGTTCAGTAAACTGTATCAAAAGGTATTGATTCGGAATTTCACAGTGTTTTACAATTCAGAGTTGAAACAGACAGATACAGATAATATAAGGCTTGAAACTATAGTGTAATGACTGACTCGTAGTTCCACCGAATAGGTTATATATTGATTTATTTATTGCACATATCATAGAGTAAAAAATTAAACAGTATAATTCACTGGATGACAAAGTTTCGAACACTATTTATTCATCATAATCAAGTTAGTTATAACTACACATCTTAGCAACATGAAGTTTATAGTTTTTCTGTATTTCTTTCCATTCGCGGTAGGGGTAGTAGAGTTTTCCGAATGTTTGAGATGATAGGTGTTGAATCACAACTATTGCAAGTATTTCCAGTCGATTAGATAAATGAAGCTACTTTTATCACTCTCTACCCTTATCCAGTGTGTCAGATTAGATTTCAAGACTGTCATCTTATTCCGTCACAATGTGTGACTGCGTGTTATTACACGTAGTGCTGCAGTTGAGCCATTCTCCAGATTTTTTATCTTATTGGGGTCAAAATAATCTCGATTTTGTTAGGTTTTCGTGCTCTGCTAATTTGACTGACCCAGTCCTTTCAATTTGAGCTGTGCACTTGAGCTGACAATGATTTCAGGGTATTAGATAAACAAACCTACTTTCAGGATTTCATAATGAACCAACATCAGTCAGAGGACCATTGGAAAACCTTGAAGTACTGGATAGCTGTTTCTTCGTAGTTCGGCACTTCTCAGCAGTGGGCACCTACTGGGGTCCTAACCCGCGACCTCCTGGTTGCAGAAATCGGGATTCATGGACCACTGAATCAAACCCCACTGGCATAATGGTTAACGGGCTTGCCTTGTATCTAGGTGGTCCCGGTTTCGAAGCCTCTGTGGCGAGTGCGTACTGATGAAGAGTCCAGAACTAAAACGAAATGGCTGTTCAGTACTTCCACTTTTTCCAGTAGTTTTCTGACTGACGTCAGTTCATGATGAAATCCCGAAAATAATCAAATACCCGCAAACCAACACCTGACTATCAAAATTATTTGGTTTATTGAGCTACGTTGCACAGGATCCTTTAACCAACAAAGTTTTTTTAGACATCTAGTGGGTCTGAATGTCAGCTACTTTTATTCCCGCCTTGTTAAGAATTCTAAGTAAGGTTTACGAGGTTTCTTCTTTGTTGTGAAGTACTACTGATGATATTTTATTTTTTTGATTTACAGCTTGATTCCACACCGTATTTTCAGTACAAGTATGGAATTCTCAGCATGGATATCGGTAGCCCAAATTCAGGCCGACCATAGATATCGGGTGTGCGCCGGCAGGGGATCGAACCCCGGACCATGTGCATGGTCGGTGAGAGTCCTAACCACTGTGCCACCGACGCACCGACGCACTCCCTATTATTGGTGCTATCATCATTCGGTGCATGCTTGTCATGTATGACACCATTATTAGTATGATTATTGTTGCTACAGGTATCACTAACATCATTATTATTTTTATTAATCATTATCCTTGACAGCTTCTCTTATATACCTTTCTTTCCGCCTTACTATTTAGTTTTTGTGCCCTATATTTGTGCATTTCACAAATCCTATTTTCAGTGACCTAAGGAGGAGTGATCAGAAATCCGAATATCATTTTGAATGTGTAGGTTCTTTATAAAAACGTCCCATTTTTTTAATTTAACAATCTAACATTGAAACTTCCTCTTCTTAACTTTCGAATTCATAGGTGAACTGAATTCCATCTACCTTCGAGTCAAGGTGTATGTGTCATTTACATACTTCCACTATGAACTTGTCTGTCACCATAGAGGAAATCAGCAATCGCATGTCATGTCCCTCAGTTTGTTTGTATATTTTTTCCCTAGAATTTAAATTATATAGATGTCAGACACAGCTGCACTCCTAGCATTATGTATTTTGTCTGTCTGTTTTCGACATAGAACTTTGCACCGATGTGCGGCAGTTCAAGTCGCCACACTCCCTCCGTGTAGCACACAAAGCAAGAGAAGAAAGTGGGAGAAGTGCATAGTAGATACAGTAAACAGAGGTGTGAGACAAAGGAATAGTAATAACGAAGAACAAAACAGTTTCAGTGGAAATCATAAGTCACAAGGAGTGGATGCATCTGCGCCAGCCATTGACAACGATTTTGAGCCATGTCACCAATTCTTTCCAACCATTGGTTTTTACCGTCTCGAGGACCCCAACCAGGAAGCCAGTCTACACCTTCCTACGTGGCTTAGACTAACTGTCGTAGATTTCACTGACTGGTGCTATGTTTTCGTTTGAGCGCTGCTAGCTCTTTCCCAGCCTGACCCTATGTCAGCTAACATTCCCCGTCAGTCGAGGAAGGGGATGACTAGGCATATGTAACACATGTCCTAACCATCTCAGTCAATGTAATTTCACAGTCTCGTCGACTAATTTCACCTCCCTACCTAGCACTCAACGCCTAACCTCAATATTGTTCCTGACCGATAGCTGCTGGCGTGGTGGTCGGGCTCGCATATCGCAATGACCCAACGAGCTACACTGGCTGGAACTTATGTTCCTGTAGGTCCTACCATGCCAGAAAGGTTGTTTGGATAGCGGTTAGACAAAAAGCAGCTACCCAATCCAATACTATGTTTCAAACAAATTCACAAAATATCATGCCGGATCAGTCGGGGCCCGGATTAACAACGACCGCGCTTCCTGCTGCCGTGTCACAGGGCAGAAGTGATAAATATGCTACTGAGACACACCAAATGAAAAAGAACAAACAAAAACAGGCCGCGTGTGACCGGCCTCAAGCAGTTGTCCCCTGGGCTCTGCGGTCACGCAACACTAACCTCTCCTCTATTTCAGGTTCCCCTTAAGACTCAACCAACTTCCACGGTGTGGGCAGCCGGGAAGTAACAACCGCTCACACACTTCCACTATTATGTCTTCTAGTGACAATTTAGTTCTAATTGCAAGTTTTTGGTCAGGAATGAGTTTGTTTCTGACTGCTTCTGTTTAGACAGTTCATAGGTAGGAGAATTTTGGAAAATAAACTTATAAGTCTTATAAGATATGCGTACCTTATACGCCGAATGAAGCCATTTTAAAATGAGCCTAAATGCTTTAAATTGATGCCGAAAACTAATGACATCAGTAGGATATATAAATACTGATAAAATTCGTAAGTTACAACTTTCTTTGTCACCTACATCTTACTCTTCTAATGGCAGTCATTATCTACTTATACGAAGGAGTGTACGATCTGGAACACAGATGCTTAAGCAATCATCCTACAGTTAAGGACTTACAAAACCAAAACCGTGGAAAGCCACTATTAGAACCTGTTGTGAGTTAAATTATTTTTCCACACTAATATATCATATATAGGCAAATAGCACCAAAATAGAAAACACAACACAAAACCCTAATTATGCTTACCAATATTTGACACTGTATTCAAAAGTGTCATATACGTTCCACCGACTTTTGGATCACTGATTTTTGCATGAAATGCCACTTGTACAACCATCATTATACTTGATATAATTGAATAAGTAACAAGTTTACTCAATAAAAATACATAAAATATCCATTCAAATGAATAGTTCACATCTTTTCGTATATTTGATGAATAATGCATTGAATTAATTGTCTCTGTGAAATTGTTTAAATCACTAGCGTTGTATAAATGATTGAAATTGACTTGTGTTTCATTATTAGGAACAATTCGAAAGTATGTTGAATAATGAACAATTGGAACTGTTAAAGAGGATATTAATAATCTAAAAAGTGGGAAATGAAGGAAAATAACGGATAAAGTTCTCTTGAAAAATTATCTGGATTGTGGAAGGCAAATAGGATGTCAAGATAGATTTAAGCGTAATTCGATATCAATTCGAGAAGTTTATATCACAGGATCTGATATATCAGGTTCCGTGTCTGTTAGCTCAATTCTTACGTATTACTGGGAGAGAAACAGAAAGTTCAGTAATTTCATTCTCGAAACACTTTATATTAATCTAGACTTCAGGAGAGATTTAACAGAAGATGTCTAGTTTCATAAGGAAGAAGCATGTAATAATCCTTTGATTGATATTCTCCAACTCTCCACTGCTGAAAAGGAATTTAAAGGATAAACTCCCACATATGACCACTGTCATGTGTAAATATCAGTTCACATGTTCCTGTGAACTTAAGCATATAAATTGTTCTACTCACTTTCTTTCAAAACGCGTTAGAGGATACTACGCAGCATGCTCTCAATGTTGATGGCACAGCGGCCACGACGCCCGTCAACCATGCACAAGGTCCAGGGTTCGATCCCCGACCATGGACGAACTCCTTTACCTCGCTGAGCCAGAAATAAAGATGGTAAAGAGGAAAGTTTGGGAGTGAGGCTAGAAACCTCATCCTGTAAAAATAAACAGTGCTAGAGAAACTTCAAGCCTCCAGCTTGAAGCTCTATGTCCCACTGGGAACATGAAGGAATGATAAAAATGCTTTCAGCACAGATCTAGTCAGAAGTGCTATAATCGAACAGTTTATCAAAACTTGTTACGACACCTCACCTGGGTCATGATTCAAAGTCATTTACAAAGTGAACGCTATTTTACAAAAGGGTAGCCTATTCCAAACTTCTCTGTACTACATAAACTCTTGTCATTTGCATTGAGAAGTTGGATCTATGTGTTTTAACGGCGGTATCTACCGTGTATGTAGTCTAGTTTAGTTTCCTTTTCACTCCTTCCCCTTATATTGCTTTTTTACATCTGTTAAGCCACTATATTCGTAATCCTGTATTACTCTGACTTCTAGGATCACACCTTCGAAATCTCATATCAATTTGATGATGATTATTTCATTCAAATCTCCCTTCTGTTAACACGTTCAAATTAAATAGTAATTGTAAGTATGCTCGAGTGCGATCGTGCAGGTACTGAGAATGAAGCCATCGTAAAAATATCCTTTCTCAACTTCTTGTTCTTTCTCTTTTGTCCTGATGAGGATTTCGTAATGTTAAGTGTGTTTAAAACCTGAGACCGAGCACTTCGGTCCAATCAATCGACGGGAAAATCTAAAATTTAATTAAATAATTAATATGACCCATTGCACAAGAGGTGGCTGTCGTGGCTGAAGTGGTCTAGTGGATAAAGTTTTGACGTTTGAAACTATGGGCACTGGGTTCGAGCCTCGGTGGGAACATCATCATTCACTGCGGAGTGCAGGTGCATCCACTGGCTGACGAGTCCCGAATAGGACGAAATGTGCATTCTGTATTCCGCTGCTGGTCACCATCCACCAATTAAATTCTAATTACATGCCCAGACATCGTCGAGGCATCTACACAAGAAGTTGACATGTCAACCTGAGACCGAACACTTCGGCCCAATCAATCGATGGGAAAATCTAAAATTCAGTTAGATAAATCATCTCATTTAAAAATCTCTACCTTCTTAGAGTCATTAATAGGTACTGTCTGGGAAATCACATAGGTTTTACAAGAGTTCACAGGTTCACAATAGTTTTTTAGTTCCCTGTAGACACCTGATAAATTCTTTTGAAATCACTGAAATATTTAAAAAAGATACTGAAATATGAAGTCTTAGACTGTTATAATGCACTGTAGTGGCTGAAAAAAAATATAAAGATATTTCACAAATGTAGGCGAAGTTCTGACCTAACAGAGTAATATTTTATTTTATTTTTCCATTTTATTCTTTCACGTTCCGAGTGGAACACTGGGCTTCAAGCTAGGACTTTGAAGTTCCTGTAGAAGTGAAGTTGCTAGCCCCATGCCCAACCTTGCCTCTTTACAGAGCTTACTACCAGCTTAGAGAGGTTCAGGAGTGCATCGGCTAGGAATCGAACCCCAGACCAATTGAGTGGTTGGCTGCTATCCCATCACTGAATCACTGACACACAGGCAGATTGTGTTCCATCAATTAAGACTGCAATGTGGTCATCAAGCCGGATGACTTTTCATTGTCTTGCACTATGAAATGATGTTAGATAGTTTGTAGGCAATTGAGGTAAAATGTAGATGATTCAAACACACTCTGAGGAGACCGTGGGTCAGCTGAAGAAAGCCACTTGGGAACCAAGGAAATAATAATAATGCAATGATAGATACTAATATTTTATAATGGGACTGGAGCAGGAGGCCGAACAAAACTGTGATACACTAATATTTGAAGAGAACCAGCTGAATTTCAAATAGTTAAATAATACCTTCAGTAGTTAGGGACCTGTAAGGTCGTATCACGAACCAACATCAGTTATAGAGCTCACTGAAAAACCAAGGATCACTTAACAGATGTCTCACCGGATTCTCGGACTCATCATCTATGTGATTCAACGATCTAGGGGGGGGGGTCTTAGGTGCTTACTGCTATACCATCACATAGTGTAAGTTCGAAATACATATATATATTTCCTCTGCATCCCAAGTGAATTATAGGGTATTAGGCCTGAACTCGGAAGTTCCAGAAGATGTGATATATTTTTTTAGTTGGGGTTTCCAGCTTCACATGCCAAACCTATCCTCATTTAGCTGGCCTACTACCGGTTGGCGAGGGGTCTATTAGTCCGCAGACCGTGGATCGAACCTTGAACCCTGCGAAGCTTGGTTGACGAACATCAGTGTGTATGTTAGAATACACCTGGTCAAAACAGAAACAGGGAAAATGAACCAATTCAACATATATACATACATATACAAAAATGAATATGATAAGAGGAACAAGGATACTTACTTTGGTAGAAAAGCAATTATAAATACTCCCAAAGGTCTTGGCCCATTAGTCCAACGTGTAATTAATAATGGTAGAATAGCTTGTACTGGAAGTAATATAACACCAAACAATGCTAATCTTTCCTTTGGAAATCCATGTTCAATTAATTTTAAACTAAATATTGACTCCGATGCGGTAAGGCAAATCTGCAAGGTCAAAAGAATAAAAGAAAAAAAGCAGTTTTAATCTGAGAATACTTACTATCATTCTTCAATCGACGAGATATAGGGAAAAAAAAACAAAATTGACTCATGGATAATCTACAATGGGTTGTAGAATAAAGGTGAACTTAATTTTACACTTGTTATATTACTATATATGTTGATTATTACCCATGCGAGGTGTGGGCTTCATGGAGTTTTAATAAGAAATCGTGAATGGTGGGGTCCACCAAATGTATTGTGTGAAAAGAGATAATCATCCATAGCATTGTTTGATGGATATACTGGATTCCCTGAATTAGTAGAAGTTAGAATTTACAACTGACTGAGTGGTAACCTACTCATCTAGGTATTTGAAGAACCTGGACTGGATGCATAGTGGGATAATAGATGAGTACTGTTAAAAAGAGTCTAGAACTGAGAAGAGACAAGTGTCAAGTACTGCGTGATTTTTAATGCTTTCCTACATTCTAAATTGGTGGGAAACTGTTATATTTTGACGAATTCGGTTACCAGAGCCTAAACTGATCTTAGTTAGTGTCCAAATTAACCATTTGAAAAATAGTAAGAAATTTGCAATATACACAGTTCGAGGGGTGAAATTCTCACCATATTTCCCTGTGGAAACAGCCTTCCGGTATTTAGATCACACTGATCTGACTAGCAAACACTACTGTTCGAGGTGAGAGGTATACAGTTACTCATCTCAATCAATAAGTGGTGCGTCAGTGGCATAGCGGTTATGACTCTCGCCGATCATGCACATGGTCCGGGGCTCGATCCCCTACCGACATACACCTGATATCTATGGTCGGCCTGCAAAATTTCAGCTACGGATATCACATGCTGAAAATTCCATACCTATACCGAAAAATACGATGTGGAATCAAGCTGTAATCAAAAAATATGTAGTTTTAATTAATGTTCATTTCGACAGTTTTACCGCCAGTTTCGATTCCTATCTTCTGAGTGTTGCAGAATCGCGATTCTTATATGCCAAGGATCTAAAGTGTCCCTGAAATCCACAATTACAACAGGATTTTAATTTTTCCCACTATCAGTAATATTACTGTTAATAATCTCAGATTTTTGTGTGAAATTACTCAGGTAGATGTGAACTGATTGGTAGCAGTTAGGTATATGCTTGATTCTAAATATTGAGTAGACGAATGAAATAAAAGTCTACAGCAGTTAATATTCGTTGGTCATTCTAGCCTAGTAGTGATATTTTTATGTATAGAGATAAACATGATAAGGCCTAAAGGATACACTTTCAAATAATAATAATAATTTGCTTTATTCCAAAACAGTACATGTGATACAGAATGGAATTCTCAGCATTTTTACTACAGTATTGCATCCAGTTAGTACATTATCAATAATTAGAATTCTACATAGATTGAGGAAATCTCAGTTCATTATGACAACAACATATTGGCATGTCAGTAGCAAAGGTAAAGCTGAAACAGTGTTTGAAGGTGTTAGAAAAGTAGGAGCTGTCATATTTACTGGCGTAAGCGGAAGAAAGAAACAAGGCAGCACGTAACAGAAAAAGAGAGAGAGAAAAGGAAAAGAAAGAAAGAAAATGTTGTACCTATTGATGATGTGAGTTGGAAAGACGAGGTCCAGTTGTTCTACTGACTATTTAATGAATTATAGGTGTCACGCCTAATGCTTTCTTCATCACACAGAACACGAGCTAAGTAGGGTATGGTTGAGGTTTTGTACTTGCTGGTGCGAGCATATAGTTTTCTATATAGGCTTCTGGTTTTACCTGATGAGATGCAAGGGGAGAGTTGTGAATGAAGAGGGTGATGTGAGTTAGATCAAATGGATTTGGCCCATTTTTCACATGAGTCCATGTGCCTGTCGACCAGAATATTAACAAGCTGGTTAAGTGGCACGTTGCTTACCGTGCTGACAACCTTTAACATCCTGCGTAATATGTTATAGTCTTTCTTCAGTAGCCCGGGAAAAACTAAGGGGAACAATAGAGAATAATAGGCAGAATGCGAGAGTTAATGAATTGTGGGAGTAAGGGTTGGGTTATACCGGAATGTTTTATCTTCTTGATGTAGAAGGTAAGACGGAATATTTTCTTAGAAATCGCTAAGATATGAGACGACCAGGAGAGATCAGCAGACAGAATGACGCCTAGGTATTTAATTTCCGATTTGGTTTCTATTTCAGTACCATCTATGTTGCATACCTCGTGAGAGCCAACCAGTTTGTTTAAGTCGGATTTATGCCTCAAGGTGAAATTGACTGTTTGGCATTTGGAGGGGTTTAGGGTAAGACCGTTTTCCTTGGACCACTGGCTGATTTCTGACAGAAAGCCATTAAGTTTAGAGCAGTCGCTTTGACATTTGATAGGCAAAGATACAGTCAGGTCGTCAGCATATTTGACAAAATTAACGTCATTTGAAGATGGTAAGTCATGTAGAAAGAACGAAAAGTGAAGTGGGGAGAGTACACCACCTTTGGGGACTCCGGCTTCAATGAGTACAGCAGAGGATGTTGATATTTTTATATGCTTGGCATTAGTTAGTTGTATGACTTCGTTTCTTCAACTTCAGTTACCATACATACTTTTGAGAAAAATGTGAAACGGTAACTAAAGTAATAACACCATAACTCTTCAGAACATTCATCTTCAAGACTACATTCTACGAGAAATTACTGAGAACTGTCCCATCGAAGTAAAATAAACACGTCATGGTATTTTAAAGATATATCATTGACTAACTAATTAGGAGTTTGTTCTACTTTATTCCTCCCTTACACATGATATGCAAGGATGCCAGTTATCACAGCTATCTAGCAGACTGATAGAACTACATGGTTAGTGAGGTGAAAAAATTGTATGTCTTATATAGATCATGAGATACCAACTGCTAACACGTGAACTCTTTCAGGTGTTGGTTTTGCAAGACTTTCACTGGTTTTAGTTTCATCTACGAACTGACTTGGTTGGTTTTATCCAGCTGAAGTCAATTCGTGATCAAAACAAGAGCTATTTATCTGATTATGAAGTAAATATTCAATGTAATAGTTTGCTTACTCTAAAAAAGTGCTTAATATTGTTAGATTTCATAACTAGATTTAAAGGTTGAGTGAAAGTCAATATTCATTAACCTTAAGATCAAGTCTGTATAACAAAAGTATTTGAATTTAGTTAAAGTGACGTGATTTATGTGTATGTATTGATGAAGTTGCTTGCAGAATTAGCTTCAAAGCACATTAGGCTTTAAAGAGACTTTTCAAGTCTTGGTTTTGTAGGGATTTTGTTTGATTCGTTGGAGGATTTCATCATGAGCTGACGACACTTAGAGAACGATTGGAAAACCTGCAGGGAGTATTGGATAGCTGTTTCGTCAGCCTAGTTAGGGACTTTTCAGAAGTAAACACCCACCACAGAGGGTCTGAAACTAGGACTTTCTGGTTACAAGGTGAGCTCGTAGACTATTCAGCCACTGAGACTCGATTCAATGACCAGCCCATGAATTCCAACTTCTGACAATTCATGATATGGTATGACCACTATCCAATGTCATCCATGGCGAGTATTTTTCCTCACACGCGAGCTGCTGCACCCCACTGGTCATGACTTCCCACTAGAACCCCAGTTAACTACCTACCTGAATAGGGCCAGTCGCTAGTGAGCATCTCATTGATTTTCAGGTGTTAGTTTGTAGGGAATTTGTTTGATTGGTTGCAGGCCGCCTAACAGAAATAATATTGTGTTTGTTCTAAAATACAATACAACAACGTTAAATAAACGAAATGGAATAGATTGATACTTTACTACAATGACTATAATTTGCTTCTTCTCTGAGTTCTCCCTGTAACGGAATAACTGTTTGGAAAATCCTACCTGATCTACCTAATGACAATACGGATACTTATTTGGCTGTTTCAACTGAATTTGTAATGATTATCGTTCTTCTTCTGGACAGTGTATCATTGCTCTAACTTCCGTGTATTATCTTTTGACTTCATTCTTGTTATTTGTCTATGTTACTGTTTAATTTCTAATTTTATTGCTTCTCTTCGTGGCTGTCCGGTATAATGATAATGTGATGTTCTGCAATGTAATTTAATTTGAGGGAAACAAGGCCATTTTGACAATGGACTGTCACCCCTGTAATTTTTTTATTCCTTTACGTTCCCAGTAGAACATAGGTCTTCAAGCTACAGGCTTGAAGTTTCGATAGCAAGGATATTCACTTTTACGGGATGGGGTTGCTAGCCCCATGCCCAACCTTCCCTCTTTACCGATCTTACTACCGGCTTAGCGAATTTTAGGAGTGCGTTCATGGCCGGGAATCGAACCCCGGACCACATGTTTGGTTGGCGAGCACTGTACCACTGTGCCACCAACGTACAGTTGTTTTGTACTTGAAAATTATCTGATCTGTATAGCCGCCTAGAGAGATTGTTGACATAATTTTGAGTTTTCGATAAGTTATTATTATTTTTAAACATCACCGCTGATTTTATTGCAAATAATCGTGTTTTTTATGTCATCAGGGAACTTTGAGACCGTGAGTAACTCAAAGAAGCTTTAGTCAGATGAACAGTTGAATGCAGAGATGCGTTAGATGAAAATACATCGGTTTTAGCCGTTACGCTGTTGAACTAGAATGCTGAGAAGCTTAAGATTGCTCCTCAAATGAATCTTGAAATGAAGACAAAAACCTTACAGGATTTAAAACCGATTTTTAAGTAAATAAAAATGATATTTTAAATGTTTCTTTTTTATTAACCCTTTGTCAAAATTATCTAAAGACAAACTGTCTGAGCATTATTCCGACAGTGTAATAGATGATTATTTGTGATGTAAATCGTTTATTTTACATCACAGATGAATATATACATATATAAATATATAAGCTTTCTTCTTTAGTCTGAATGGCTCCCTTTTATTTAAGAGAAATTATCCTACAACATTAATCATCATTCCTTCTTCTTTTTTCTCACACTAT